TCTAAGTACAAAGATTAGAGTCCCTTATACTCTTATATTTTCAAATAGAAACTGGAAATCTTTTCCCTAAAATGGGAAATATTTTAGACATTATTTTATAAATGAGCAAGACTCAGAACAGTAGGCCCTATCTTTTATTTCCCCATAATTTGAATATCCCGAGTTAAGTTTTAGATAGGGTTGAGCTGTATGAAGAAAGAAGGAATGAATTAAGGTGAAAATAGAAAAATAGAGAAAAAAGGTGGTAAAATAATCTAAGGGATGATTCTTTGAAGATAATAGTAATAATATTAGTCTAATGAAGAGATGAAAAGAGAAATAGAGAAAGAACAGATATATGCTAAAGAAGAAATAGTAAGGGAGAAAAAAGTAGGTATCAGGAAAATCAGTAAGTTTTAAGAGATTCTTTTGCTTACGATTCAGATAAATAGTTTAAAATTCAGACTAAAAAAATTAAATGATTTTCTAGGAAATACTGCTTTTTGCAGAGGATAGAGGAGACAGAAAAATCTACTTCCACATTTTTGTTTGTTTGTTTGTTTTAGTACCAGGGATTGAACTCGGGTCCTTGTGCTTGCAAGGCAGGTGTCGGAACCATTGAGCTAAATCCCCGGCCTGGAGACAGAAAAATCTAAATGGAAAAATTACTATTAACAAGCTTTAAGAAATAAAATTGGATGATAAAGTACCTCTTTAAAGTGTATCAGAGGCAGTTATTTTTTCAGGGAAATACCTGCAAGTATTCCACGGAAGAGACATTCCACTGCTGTGGGGATGTTTTCAGAGCACATTAAAAGCTTTCATGATTTTAAAAATAATGAAAGGACTACAACTTTGGGTAAACCCAATGAAGGCAGAACTCAAAAGTAAATGTCAGTTTCAGTTGTGAAAATTGATATATAAATTCTAAAACTATAAGTCAGTGGAATTCCATTGTGCATTACAAGACTAACACAACAGTATATGTTGAAAGGATGGTGAAATTATTCATTCTTTTAAAAAATTCTTGATAGATTTAGAATGCATCTACAGCAGTGTGAAGTCAAAATTCATCTCATATTAAGGACAGGAGCAAAAAAGGTTGTGATCTCTTCAGTTTTATTGCCTTTTTTTTCTAAGAAAATCAGCTCAGAGAGAGAGATCAATGGTAGCAAATTGGAAAGGAGGGTGTGCACTTAGCACTGTTGCCTCTGCCCTGTTGCTTGCTTTGTTTTGGCATCAGTTATTTTTCTTGACAGCCAATGTTTCCTTTTGGAGAAAGATAAAATCATTGTTTCTTAAAAAGAGAGTCCCGCCATTCCTCTGGTGTTTTTACTATTTCTGTACAACATGCTTTGCGGCTTCCAGCTCTTCTTGGTTGCCACTGTCTCTTACAGACTTTCTTGTTTAATAGTCCGAGTTCACTTACCTCTACTTTCACGTTTTAAATGAAGGAAGTAGGTTGGTGCTAATTCCAGATTGGGTACTAGTGATACATAGGGTCCAGACTACTGAGAAGTTATTTTCAGTACTTGTTTCATACTTAGAAACCAGGAGAAGGATGGCGGCTTTCGTTTATTTGGCACAGTTCGGAGACCGTGGCGGTTTTCTGATGTCTCACACCTCTGTGCCTCAGTGAGAGCTTTAACACAGGTGGCCACTGTGGACTGCCTGCTGAGCTGGATTCATGCTTTGATTATAGAAGCTAACATTTTAAAAGCTCTACAATATGTAACTAAAATTATTGACATCCTAGTCTCTTGCTAAAGTTGAACATTGTCAGTAGGTATGTAAATGATGGTCATTATAGCTTTCTTATAAGAACTCATTGCACACAGAAACTATTTTTAATTTAACTGACCTTGTCTCATTGCAATGTTAATATAGCAAACAAATCCTTATGGACTGATACATCTGTACTGTTTAATAGAGCCTAATGTACAAAGATCTTGAAATGGCCTTCTTTCTAAATAGTATATTTTAAATTCTTCTGCATGTCCTTATTTTATGATTTTACTTTTGAGTAAGTATGTCTTTTCATCATATGAAATTAATTTAGCCAGAGTATCCTCATCTTGCCAGACATCCCTCTCCTTAACTCCCCTTCCCCACAACTCCCTGTCTTCCTATTGCTCTGGGAAGAAAAAGGAAGTACACTATTATGTGTGGTTGAAGCTACCGCAGAAAATATAGTTAAGTAAATGAGATTTTGAGGGTTAGGCTGTATCTTCTATTTAATGATGGATGCTAGTTGGCTCATTGATGACGAAGCCACCTCTTGGTTACACATCTGTCCACTGGATCCTATTTTTATTTATTTATTTTTGGTATATGTGCTGCTAAAGCAAGCACAATTTATCTATTTTTGGTACCAGGGAATCGAACTTGGGTCCTTGAGCTTGTGAGGCAGGCAGCAGCACCACTGAGCTAAATACCCAGCCCCTGTCCACTGGATTCTAAAATGTTGCCACTCAGGAAAATTTGCCAAATTCTATCAGAGTGAATTTTCCATGGATATAACAGTAAATTATAGAGCGTGTAATATGAAGCTGTCATGTTCTCCAACAGGAACGCTACTAGCCATATGTAAGTATTTCAATTTAAGTTAATTAAAATTACATGCAATTAGAAAGCCAGTTCCCCGAGTGTACTAACCACAGTGCCAGTGCTCAGAAGCAGCAAGTAGCAGTGTCCACACCTGGACAGGTGGCAGTGGGAGGTTTCAGAACGTTTTGCTAGACAGCCTTTGGGGATGGCTGTGAGTGTCGCCTCCTAGTTTTAAAATGATTGTCTTCCTTTGGTATTATAAATACTAATGAAGACTAGAATTTCTGTCAGTATTTTTAGAAGCAGTGACTAGCTCAGAATTTCTTCCTTTCTACCAACTTAATTTTTAAGATTATGTAGCAAAGTAATGCACATATGAGCGTGAGGTTGCCAGCGTTTTGAAATTTGAGGAAATTCTTGAGATTGTATGAAGTGCAGGGGTGGGCATGGAGAGGGCAGGATGTTCTCTTACTCAGTAAGGACCTAGACAAGATGATGAAGGGGAAACCATTTCCAAGAGGCATCCAGGAGAAGCCAAGTCAGTGGAGAAACGATGTGTTCATTTGAGACATGTAATTTTAGGTTGTAATTACTACGACAAATTAGGGCAAGTGGAAGCCATCAGAAAGCAAAGATGAAGAGGAGAGCTGCAGGGGAGCCCCCAATGCTACTCCAGCTGCCCACTTCTCTTGTCAGGTGCTTTGGTTCCCCACATGCAGTGCACATTCATGCAGCAGGGAGGAGGACCATGAGGAGCTCGGGAAGGTGAGCCTGGGGAGGCAGGAGAGCTGCTTCAGGGCTCTGGCGCTGGCCCACGTGGCAGGAGTCAGAAGCCCAGCTCTGACTTTGCTGCCTGTGGGAGTGGAGCAAGTTATTTCGCTCCTATGTATCTGCTTATTTGTAAAATGAGGCCATCTTGCTCCTACCCCTCTAGGGTTGGTAGGCTTCTTGTGGGCTAAGGAATGGAAGTATTAAATGCACTGAAGGCTATAGCGCTAGTGTTGCTGACATGTTACATAGGCGTCACAGTGCCAAATAGATACAAGCCTCTCTGTTATAGCCAAGGAGCATATGTGTAAACAAGTGATTGCAGTAAGGCTGGATGAGTGTTACTACAGGAGAAGTCGGTGTTCTATGAGCTTATATGTTGAGGTGATGGAATTTTTGATATTTAAACAAAATTAATTTAGCTTTTAGTATGTCTGGGTTTTATTTCAAGTCATACTTTAATAGCTTCATAGATATAATCTTATTCTTTTTAAAGTTTGTATTCCTTAAATTTTGTTTATTACCTTGTTATGATAAACGTTTAAAGATTCCAAGATAGTAAGTAAAAATGTTGCCCTGACTATCCTGGTAATATTACAGCTGTTCATATTCTTTCCCCGTTGTTTTACATTTTGTACCAGGTTGCCAAAAAAGTACTAGAATCCTCTGTTAGCAACAGGATCTGGCTTATCAAAATAAAATCTGTCTTCCAGACTTTCACAGGAAAGTTTGGTTAGCTTTGAGTATAATTAAAGAATGCATTATTGGATACCTATTAAAACAGGAAATGTGAGGTGGAACTGTTTCATATGTAGTGAAGGACCGCTCTCTTCAGCTCCACGTAAGAAGAGGCTAAACTGAAGTGTAAGATACTAAGGACACCCATGTAACAGTGAAGTGGGTTAGACCTAAGTACAGACAGATCTGCGTTTCTCAAAGTGTCTTTCACTTCTTAACATACTATGAGACTTTTTTAAGGTGCTCAGTTTGCCTTATACTACATTAAATTAGATTCTCACCTTTGTGTTTCTTGGATCAAAATGGAAAATGAAATACCAGCTTGTTATTTATTTATTAATGCATCTTGTTTTACACTATGGAATATGCTTTTATTTAAGCAAACATAGTTGTGAGAAATGTCTGTAGTTATGAGGAATCCCTTTGTTTCTTTGCAGTGTGACCTGGGGGGGCGGTTAGCAGTTGGGAGAAAGCTGGTCAGGGGTCCTGGGAGGAGTGCTGTGGGCTTGGTCTTCCCGGGCCTGACCTCAGGTGTGCCGGGCCATCTCCACCCCCCTGAGGTACTGTCTTTGACCGGCCAGGTCGTGGCCTCCGGCTTGGTGCTTCACTCTCTTTGTAGTTTATATTCTTAGTAAGAATAGACTGGAACTGGTCCTTGATGTATCGAAGTGATGTATTTTAGAAATTACGGATTTCAGAAACCTTACATGCTTATTCAGAAGGAAAAACAGAGTAGTTTTTATGAGCTTTCTATTTGATAAATGTGACTTTTCCACTTGACTCCACATTGTGAACACTGGACAGAGTGATGGATGAGTCGTACCTGTGTGCCGTCTGTAGGTTTATTAAACACGACGTTAGATAAGCTCAAGGGCTCGGGATTCTGTTTGCAGTTATGAAAATAGGTACTTCGCGCTAGGCGATTGTTTGCTCATAGGTGAGCTCACTTTCCTTTGGTTTTCTCCCAGATTCATGAGATACTCCACTCCTATGAGAAGCAGAGTCCAGTGCCCATTCTGCATGGCGCGGCCGCCCTGGCCGATGACGTAAGTGTGCCTTTCTGAGCTCCAGGGACGTGTCTGCTACAGACCTGGCCAGGGCCAAACCCATCCCGGCGCAGATGTGTGTGATCCTCTGTGTGAAAACCAGAAGAAGTTGCAGATGTTTCCAAAAGCCCTGTCATCACCGAGCTTATGCTGATATAATGTTGATTTTCATTCCCTTTCCTGTTCTGAAGATTGTGCATGTAGCTGTGCTCATGTTCTGCCTTGGTAACTACGTCATAGAAATTGTAGGCTTCAGACTGTGTGGAGAAAGAATCTGTCAGGCATTAGTTTTCTGAGAAAGTCACAGACAAGGGGAATGCTTGAGAGAAATAAAGACAAATGAGATAAGTTATATTGCTGACAGTGCTAAAAAATGACAGCTACCCGGAAAGGAGTGAGGTATATGACATATATAAAAAGACAGGATTGTATTTAAAATGGATTATAAAGCATAGCAATGATTTATGGATATTAGACCTTTCCAAATTGCCTTCATAACAAAAAAATAAATTTCAGAAGCAGTTGGCATTGATGGAGTACTTAATTTCCTGCAGCTACAATTTTATTTTGAGCCTGGGGGAGGGGACCTCACTTGCTGATGCCCACTGCTGGCTTTTAGACTCAGATGAATTGAACACACCTGGATAAACCGTGAAGGAAACTCAGTGAGGCGAGTGGCGTGCCTAGTGTGTGACAGTGGTGGCTGGTAGCTTACTTGTTGCTTTACAATATTTTTGCTTCTGTACAGTTTTGCAAACTGTAATTCTGTTTATTAAAATTTCAGGGTCATCATATACTGAGAAAAAGATTGGCCATTTTCAGGAGTTGATTTTTTTTTCTTTGATAGGCTTTTATATTCTAATTTATAAATGAAAGCACATGTAGTAGACATCTAAGTTGTATGCTGTTTGCTTAGTCCTCAGATGTTTTCCTTTCTGCATTTATCTACAGACATATATATGTCTGTATATTCACTATATATGTTTAACTTGGAAGTTTGCTTCTGAATTGTAGAACCAAAACTTTTGAGACGAAGGAGAATTAAGGTGTAAATATAGTTGTCTTAATAAACAGCCTTAGAAACCAGTTTTAAAACACTATTGAGCATTTTGGGAAACTGTTAGTAGAAACCAGTGTTATTGAGCCCTAAGTAGAATATAAAATTGCTCTTTTTAAAGATTAGCATCTAAGGGTTGAGGTGTGGCTCTGTGGTAGAGCCCTTGTCCAGTGTGGATTTAATCCTCAGCACTGCAAAAGTAACAAACTCATTAATACATGAAAAATTAGAATCTGCTCCATAAACAGGGTAAGCCTGTTTTCTAATTCATCAGAGCAATGTATTTAAATTCTGTAAAAATACTGCATTGAAAAAGTAAAAGCAACTTTATAGTGCAATTAATAAATCAGTCAGTTTTCTCTGATTCTACTTTCTGTGTATTATCATCCTCTGTCATTATTTTTAGCATAAGAGTAACAACAGAGGCAAATGGAAATTTTAGCACTGCTTTAGGAAGGGTTTTAAAAAATACAGAGATGATTTGAACTATATACAGTATATTTTATAATGTTAATTTTTTTACTATTTGAGTCTTGTTTTTTCTTAAAAATTATATGATCCTTCCTATAGCCTAAAATTGATGGAAATTTTCATAGGAAGATCTTTTGAAGTTTCATTTTATTTTTAATTGGCAGATGATAAACGCACTTATTTATGAGATGCATTGTGATATGCTTATTTGCCGCCTGAGACATATATTGTTTTTTCATGGTGAGAACATTCAAAACCTCTTAATGGAGGACATGAGGCAGTTTCTGTTCCAATCCTGTCTTTAGATGGATGGAACCAGCCAGGGGGAATTTTTGATGATCACAGTGGAGTACAGTGAGAAGTTGAGTTACCTGACTATTAGAGGTTTCTGATTCACTGGGTTTATATTTAACAGACTTCTTAGTCTGTATAGGTAAACACAATAAAAGTTTCAGGTCATTTACTCTATTAGGAGAATTCCAGTTTTTTTTTTTTTTGCCCCAGCTCTAAACAGCCCAGCTACTGTGTGCTTTTGGAAACCCTGTGGATTTTACCACCTCATTCAGGCCCCCGCTCCTGTCAGAGCTAAATCCAGTCCTTTCTACAAATGGTCTTTTGTCTGAGTACAAAGGCCCTTCACGAAGATGAAGGGCTGGGACTTGCCCTCCTTGCAGTCAGTCAGAAAGTGATGTGGCTGATGTGATCACCCGAATTGTACTCAGCTGAGAACCGGGCTTGACTCTAGTCTGCCAAGGGCCTGGAAAGAAGAGCTGTGACTGATGGTCTCCTTCTCTCATGCTGACTCCCTAAACCCTGGAAAGCCATAGCCTTGAGCAGAGCAGATTCTCAATTTTGACACTGAAACCCCATGGTGCTCTTGCTAAACTTACTTGTGTCAATGTTCTCTCCCTTGCAGCTGGCCGAAGAGCTTCAGAACAAGCCGTTAAACACTGAGATCAGAGAGCTGCTGAAACTGCTGTCAAAACCCAACGTGAAGGTGAGGACGTTTTACGCCTGCAATGCCTTCTAAAAGAACCACTTTCTGAGCCTTCAGATGAATTGTCTCAAGCATCAGTTTTCAAGTAAATGTGTTTTCAAGAGTATACAATACTTTAATAGCCTAAATCCTATTAGGGAAAAAAATTGAGCTTTTAAAATTTATAAAGTTGTCACAAACTATAGAGTACTTTGAGAAGCTCAGAATTTAACTGGGCAAATACAATGCAGCTTCAAGGTTATTTTCCTTTTTGGTGAAGTTATAGAGAACCTACTAGTGATATTGTTTAGGTTCCTCCTGTGTGGTCAGTTAATGGTATTGCAGCGTATTTGATAAATGTGTCTGTTTCTCTGAAGTATTCTTTCAGCATTTCTCTTCCTTCTCTGCCTTCCATTTCCCCATTTCTGTCTCTCTACCAAGTCATGTTTCAAAATACTGTATCTTTTTCCAGAACAGAACAGGTTTCCACTGTAAAGCACCTGTAAAATATATTGTAGTTCTTTCCTGCCCACTTCTTTCTAAGTTTATTACTCATTTTTCCTCCGAATGGGATTTTTCCTTCTCTTATTCTGATAATCACTAATGCATAAAGTCCTATCCTGTCTGTACATTTTGTCCTTGACATCACTGCACCTGTGTATGAAACATTGTTCCATAAGGCAAAACTGCATATGAATTCCATAATTAAATGATCAGTTACCTTTTGATGATTATCAGGAAGTGTATATACTGTTGAATAAAAATTTTTGCCTATGTGCAAACTGGCTTCCATGTTCTTGGATATCCTTTGAAATCATGCTATCTAGATTTGAAATTTATGTTCAATAAAAGAAAGATAGTATTAAAGGTGAAGTAAACCTTTGCATGGACTACATCTGCCCTCTCTAATATAAGTATACAAATATATTTCTATAGAGGATAAATGAACTATGAGTAATAATGCAGGAGTAATTGGTTTGAAATGGTTAAGGAGGTTGATTAAAGCTCTTTGTCAGACTAGAGCAGAAAAGTTGCTTGGTATTATTAAAGACCACTATGCGCAAAGATTGGGAGGTCCAAAGAGGAGATCCATAGCTCAAGAGCACTCTCAGTATTTCTTCATTTGGTCTTAGACTTCATACAAGAAATTGGTATCAACCAGAGCAGGATGAGGTGAGGTAGGAGAAGCTTGTTAAATACTTAAATATTAGAAATTAAAGAGGAGTGTAAAATAATTTTGGTATTTTACTCAAACATGTTTAAAATGGAATAGCTGGTAAAAAAGATTATACTGGATGGAAGCTGGTATTTGCTTCAAGAGGGAGGCATGAGTTAGAAGATGTCATGAAGATCCACTCGATAAAATTTCATAATAATTGCTTACATTTCATTTTGTGGAAAATATTTTATATGGAATTTATACAGCAGTGTGATTAAAAATGGTTGAGAAGTCACCATATATTTGAGAAGTTTGTGCAGAAACTGGGCGAGATTCCAGACACATGATGTTTCAGTTAACTGTGCCAATCCATAGTGAGGCAGTCGGTCCTGAGAACAAAGTACACTTCTTTCACTTTTGATCGCAGATTTAACATTGCTTTCCCTAAACTCATTTGTATTAACTGCTGTCGGGTTGGATGTCACTTCTATAGGCAATTCCTTTAAAAAGTTCAGGACCAGAATAAATTCTGGAGCATTCCAGAATATAACCAGTCAGTTCTTACTGTCCTGGGAATAAACTGAAATACTCTCCCCACCATTTGTAAGCAGAATCAGGGTGTGGTAGAATACAACGTGCTCTGTTACACATGATCTGTTAGCTGAACTAATAGTTGAATATGAAAAGTCTTAATTTGGGTGTGTTACTTTGTACATCTGTAATTATTAGTGACCTGCTCTGTTTCCGACCTGGGCCTGTTCACCCCTCCTTAGGCAACCTGATGTGGTCCCCCGCTCCCAGGAGGTCACCATATTGATGCCGAACTTAGTGCGGACACCTGATCAGCATAGCGTACTGCAGCCCAGAACTCCTGGACTCAAGCGATCCTCCCACCTCAGCCTCCAAGTAGCTGGGATTACAGGCGCGCGCCACCATGCCCAGCTGTAATTATTAGTGAACAAAGGAAATTATTTACTTATACTGCTGTTCTGTTTTAAATATTTAATTTATAGTCCTGAAACGAAAGCTGAGATGCACCACAAAGTGAGATGTCTGGTTTTTTAGCAGTCAGAGACACAACCAAATATGCAGCTGCTATAGGAAGTACATGTATTCCACAGGTCTTCAGTGCTTTTTAAAAATTTATGTAACTTTTCCTTGGTAATTTGTATATGTTAACACAGACAGATCATTCATTCATTCTTAGATATTTATTTGATGCTTGCTATGTGGCTGGCCCTTTGGATACAACTTGTAGAAGATTGATTAATGAAGGTGGGAGGAGAAATATTAGGTAAGAAAAGGGAACATGTGGAAATACAGAATGTACAGGAATCGTCCAAATCCAAACTTGGGCCAGGGCAGAGGTGTTGTTGAAGAAAAGCACTGTTCAGAGGACCGGAAGGTTGAGTCGGAGGTAACCAGAGGGGGCAGAGGAGTTGGGGGTGGGATGTGAGAAACAAGTATTTTAGGTCGAGTACAAACCTGTGAAGTTTGAGAATGCAAAGCAAGTTTTGCACAGCTGGACAGAGCCTTGTTAAAAAGAGAGGATAAGAGTTTAGAGCTGGACAGTTGAGCCTTGTGAGGAGGGCTTGGCCAGCACAGGCCGGACTGGGCCTACGGTCCCAGCCTTTTTATCAACAGCCTTTCTGTTACAGTTGTTTCCTATCTGTGATGAAGCCTGTGACCACCTTAATTGTGAGCATATTAAAAAGTTTGGATTTTGTCCTAAGTGCAGTGAAAAACCATGAAAAGGATTTAAATGAGGAAGTGACACAATCGCTGCATGTGTAGGATGCAGAGTGGATTTTGAGGTGGGTGGTGGGAATGGAAAGCCGTGTGAGGTCAGCCAGGCAGGGCTGGGAAGAATTCAGGCGGTCACCATGGTAGCCCTGGTGAAGGCAACAGTTTGAATTGCTTGAAGGGGTAACTTTACCACTCAGTGTTAGAATAACTGGTTAGTTATCTGGGAAAAAATGAGAAAAATCCCTACTAGACTTAATTCCAAATAGATTAAAGGGTTATGTGTAAAATATTGAACCATAAAAATATTACTGGGGCTCAGTAATAAAGCACTTGCCTAACACATGAGGTCTTAAATTCTAGCATTACAAGAAGAAAAAGATATATGTTAGCAAAAACTTGATAATTATTTCATCATGAGATAAGAGACATATTCATAAATACAGGGACAGACAAACCGAAATGCAGTAGTGCAAACACATACACACACACACACAAAGAAAAGTTTTTTTTAAACCATGAAGGAATTTAGAAGGAAAATTATGCAAATGATTTATTATATTTGTCTTTAGTAAGAGAGGAAGTTTATTGCTTTTACTTTTTTTTTTCTTTTTATTGAGTTTATTGGTACAATCTAGGAATACAATACAGTTACATTCATTATTGGGATCCTGTACCTTTACATAATAGGTCTTGATTCTCGTTTTTTCCCCTTGTCCCTGCCCTCCCTTCACCTTCTCCTCCCCTCCCCAGTTACAAACACTTTATTTCCATTTTTTCAATTTCATATTTTTTTCCTCTCTCTTATTACCTTTCCCCCACCCTACCCACTTTCCCTACACCTTTAGCCCTTTACTTCCTATTTCACATTATTAATTATCTCATTAGGATCCTGTGTACTATTATAGTTTTTCACACCAGAGAAACTATTTGGTATTTCAGTTAAAGAAATCTCTGTATGAACATTAAAAATAGGGAATCCTAAAATAAAACTAAAAAGGAAAGTAAAAAAGAAAAGGCAATGATGTAAGATTAAAATAATCCTTAATTCTTAAGATGAAAATGGTCCCTTAACATATTTAAATTGCTTCTTGCTCTTGTAGTCTTAATTTATTCTTTTTTTCATTATTTAGAGAATACTTTATTAGTTTCTGTAATCAAACCCACGTAGATATGACCTTACATATTTAATACAGTGCATTACCCCTGTACAAATGGGAAAAAAATTAAAAAAATTAACATTTCTAGAGCAATGTGGCTGTCCATTTCTGTACAATGCCAACTCAACACAGTGAATTGGGATAGCTTTTTCCAAAGTTGACAGCACTGTTAAAGTTTCCAAAATTCAAATTTTATATATATATGTGTGTGTGTGTGTATATATATATATATATATACAAAGACCAATAATAGCGGTATGTTATGCATCAAGAGCAGCAACAGCTTTTCCAGGTTCTTCAGTCATCTGAACAAAATTATAGACATTCAGCACATTGCATTAAAAAAAAAAGCAACAACAAAAAAACAAAGAAAAGAATAATATCCAGAGAACAGCAAAGTTCTGTTGCTGTTGTGGTACCTGGCACCATTTTTTTTTATTAGCATCTTATCATCATCTGTAAAGAGAACATTCTAGAGTAATATCATTAAAAATAGCTCTGATAAAGCATGGTCACTACTACATATCATAAAGCAGGTACAAGATATTTTACATTCACAGAGGTATGATACAGTACCGTCCTACATCAGTA